CCTGGGTTGGATTCCCTATTTCCTGGATCTTCTTTCTTGGTTTTACACTCTCGCTTAACTAGAGCATCTCCTCCTGTACCTTCCCAAGAAATGATGCACAGAGTGGGCAATTTTTCTATCTTGCGTGTCTGAAAATATCCTTATTCTATCCCTAGATTTGATTAATAATTTTGTTAGATATAGAATTTTAGTTTGGAAAACATTTTTTCTCAGAATTTCAAAGGCATTGCTCTGTTGTCTTCAGCGTTGTATGTTGCTTTAGGTAGTCTGTTACCATTCTGATTACTGATCCTTTGCACATGACCTACTTTTTCTCTCTGGAAGCTTTTAGCTTCTTCTATGTATCCAATGATCTAGAATTTCATATGCTTTGAAGTGAGTCATCTTTTCTTTTTTTTTAACTAATGAGCTAAGCACTCAGTGACTTCAGAAATCCATGTGCTAAGTTCTGAAAAATATTATTGTATTAGTTCTTTGCTAAAATTCTCCCTTCTAGTTTCTTTGTACTCTCTTTTTGGAACTCCCATTATCCAGATGTTGGATCCCTTTGAATGATCCTCTAAGTTCCTCTAATTTCATTTTCGTCTCCTAATTTCTATATCTTCAATTTTTTTGTTTACTTTCTTAGGAAAATGTCATGAAACTTTATCTTCCAAATTTTCATAACATTTATATATCTACTGTCAAACTTTTTAATTTCCAAGAGCTTTTAATTCTCTAAATGTTCCCTTTTTAGGGCATCTTGTTCTTATGTCATGATTGATATCTTTTCATCTCTTCGGATCCTGGCATTCTTTATTATTTTGTTTTGTTATATCGCTTGTTTCTGTTTAATTTTGGTTTCTCTCTTTCTTTGTTAGTGGTTTTCCTCAAATGTCCGGGGCAGTCCATTTATATTTATGAGTGAGGATGAAAAAGCTGATTGGAAGCTCTGCGAGTACAGATGTGTGCTCACATGTCAAGATGGAGGCATTCCTGATAGTGATCAGACAGGGACTTGGCTATTGCAAGCTGTCAGTACTGTCGACCAAGGAAAAATCCACTACAGTTTAGACAGCAGATATTTATTTGGGCAATTACAACTGCAATCTGGGAGACACAGATTCAGGTAGAAACCCAGATTGTGCTTTGGAGAAGACAAAGAAGGCAAGGATTTATAAAGGCCAAAAGAAAGAAATTACACAGAGTGTTTTGCAAGATTTGTGATTGTTGCTGGCAACAACTGTTACTTCTTGGCTATACGTGATCAGTTGCTAAGGCCATCTCTAAGGCAAAAAGTTCCTATCTATGGGAGTAAGCATATTTCTTGAAAGAAGGTCAAGATGACAACAGTGAAGCACAGTTCAAAAGTTACGTTTCATCTGGGTAGAGATGCGGTGTGCGTGCATCAGCCCCATTTCCTTAATGGCCTCCCAGCTCCATTTTAGAAGCCTTGACTTATGTTACTCCATTTTGTTATTGCTGTCCACAGTACCTACAGTCATTTCTCTTGGATGATCCATTTCCTCAAAGAGAAATCTAACAAACTGTTCTGAGTGGGTGAGAGTGGCAGTGAGGGAGGGGAGTACATATCCCTGGTTGTAGCATTCTCAGAGCACAAGGAGAAGGGACAAGGGTGGGGGTCACCATTCATAATGGAGACTCACTCAGTCTCCATTCTCAGTTGCTGTTTCTGGTGTTTACAATCTGGACACCCCACCAGAGAGTAAACCTTCTGTCAGGCTGTTGCCTGGCTGCAGAGGACTCTAAGGCTCTAACTGTTTCTTATACCAACTGTCAATCATTCCACTGAAAGAAGTTTCTGGAACCTTTAGCTCCTGAGCCTTTCCAGGATGCTGTAAATGACCCTGTTCACTCAAATTCACTTCTGTAGGCATTTGGCTTTCTCCTCTCTTCTTAGTCAGCCATATGCTTTTCCGGTCCCAAAATTTTGTGGCCATCTCTTTTCTCCTGTCTTTTTCTCTCTTCATCTCCTTATCATTATATTTTTTTGTCTTTTTAAAAAATCATTTACCTATAATTTTATTGGGAATTGGGAGGTGAAGGAGGTAAATATATGCTCAACCTGGCATGTTTAACTGAAAAAATATCCTATTTAGAACCCTCTAACAAGGCTTCTGAATCCCTATACCTCTGAAGGGCTGTATCGTGCCTTCACACTTTATTAGTAGCTTGGCTAATACAGAAAGCTAGTTTCAAAATTATTTTCCCTCAGATCTTGGAGACTTTATTCTATTAGATTTCAAGCATCCACTGATGCTGATGAGAACACTGCTATCTTCTTATGGGGATTCTTATTCCATTGTAGGTAATCTGTTTTTCTCTCTCTGGATGGTTTTAGAGCCTTTTCTTTATCTTTGATGTTCAATTTCACAAATTTGTCTCTCGGAGTGGGGATTTTAAAAATTCATCTTGTTTGGAGTGCAGTGGGACCTCCCCACCCCAGGAAGAATGGCTCTCACCTCTGATTCTACTTGCTTTTCTACATGTTTTAAAGGGTATGGTCCCTCCATTCTGTTTTATCCCTCCGTAGAATCCCATTTGCTTACAATCTTCAAAAACGTTCTTCAGAATCTCTAGGCTGATTTCCACACCCCACTCCCGCACCCTTCTCATCTATGTCATGGACTTATTCTCTTTTGTGACTCTTGTAATCTCAATGGGATTTGCGGAAAGAGAGAGGGTAAACGTGTATCCATCTGTCACCTTGACCTAGAGTTTCACTTCTGTTTCAATATGCTCATCCCCTGATTGCTTATACCTCAGAATGCCCAGGTCTTTGCTTTCTAAATCAACTTGCAGTTATTTGTATGAACCTTCACTAGAATATTCTTAGAGGACAGAGCCAGTTTTATTTTGCATCATTTTTCTGCTTTCCTAGCAGAAAAGATGGCTAATTAAAATTTTTATGCCAGCATAGAACTAAACATTTTAAATTATCCCTATTGCTATTTATGCTTAATTACAACATTCTTGAATAACAACATCCCAAGAAAGACCCCAAAAAGAGAATAGTGTAATTATAGTTCACCTTGTTCCTTTTTCTACTCTTTTGTTTCCCTTCTCTTTTTTTTTCACTTTTCTCTTCTAAATGATTACCATCCCTAATTCCTTTCCCCTTCTTTCCTGAGTGGGTATATTTATTTTTGTTCAAATTACTTCCCACATGCACTTTTGAAAATCAGTTTATTAAGTAATTCTAGGGTCCGTAAATCATTGTAGAGTGCCTGTGGGAAGGATCCCGACACTAAGGTACTCATTAAAAAAGAATATCAACTGAGTCTTAACTACTTTGATCTTTAACTTTAAAAATAAAAGCTTTTGGTTCTTCATTAATCACTTGGACTACATGTTTCAGTTCTGAACTGTTTCCTTGGGCTTTGCTAGAATTAATAATAAGCTTTCAAGATCATTATTTAATAGTTAGGTCCTCTAGCCTAGGAAATTCTTCTCAAAAATAGAAATAACAAAAATATACGAAAGTAATTAATGGCCATGCACAAGAAACTAAATACATAAGGTGAAAAACTGATTTTATACAACTCAAATATGTTAAGTATTATAACACGTATTGGAACCATAAATATATCATAGCTTTATTGCTGTTAGTCATCAGACCCATGCCTATCAACTCTGAAGGGTTTTTTTGTTTTATTTTTGGTAAAATTTGGTCATTCTCTGACCAGTCCAGAAAACTTGGGTATTTTCTAGTAAAACAAGTAAAGAGCTTTTTAAAATGTGAACAGAAATTTATTTACTTGTATAAAAATTTTAGGTAACATTGAAAATTACCCAGGTATATCTTCGAAAGTTTTGCTTTACAAATGTTAGAAATGGTTTTAAAATGTTAATACTGAACTTATACTTGAAGTTCCTAACCTTGATGTGACTCAAATTTTTTCTTATTAATTTCTGAAGAATTTAATTTACCATAAAAACAACTCTGACAGTTAAATGAATATAGTCTGAAATATTACTACACTCAGCATTCAATAGTGAAGATTTTTCCATCCCTATTAAGCTTGCTATTGTCATTCTGTGTTACGTGATAAGTACCAAGAAATATGCATTTTAGTAAATCATTTGCTAGTGAATAATATTTTATACAAATGAAACCAAAGGAATTTCATACAGTTTAAATATCGAGATTCAATCCTCCAAAGAAAATATCCTGAATTTAAAATTTGTTTCACAAATGAAGAGGGCTTAGATTTTACGGCACAGTCTTTGGCACAGTCAGGCTTTTATCAGAGCTGAGCCCTGGATGAGGAGCTGAGACTGGGCTCAGGCTGATTCGTAGAACGACCTGTCATCCAGATCCCTAAATAAGCCACTTTGTCTCTGGTTCTCTGATTTTCCAATCATACAAGAAGGAGACTAATAATTCTCTGTGTGTGTGAGATTGTAACATTTGTAATAAAATCCATGCCTTCTATAATCAATACCTCTGCCTATTACTCCAAACATAAAAAAATGTATGATGTAGAAAAAAAGTAGTCAAGTTTACTTCACCTAAACTTGAAGTTGGACTCTGGGAGATTATTTTAGTCAGCTTCAGGCTTCAAGCCTTGGAAATAATCTTAAGATGCCAATGATGGTAGAATTTTCATAATTAAAGCAATTGTTTCATTCCTTCATGCCAAAATTTCACTTCATGAAAATGATAATATTTAAAGGAACTTGTACTGACCTAGAATGAACATTTGATGAATCATTTCACTTGAAGAAATTTCTTCTTCTTCAAAAAGGTATTTTTAGCATAGCTGTTGGTTTTTCATTACAAAATTCTTACTAAATCTTAAACAGCTTGTCCTGTGGAAAATTATTTGTAACAATTTGCTTGAAATTATTATTTCAGAATTTATGGAATAACATATGGAAAATGTATGTGTGAGAGTATACATTTTTTAAAGCAAGAAGTTTTTAAGAGATTATGGGATAGAAAGAAGGAATGCAAGACTCAAAGTGTGGATACTCTTAAATGACAACTTACCAATAAATGGACCACTAAAATGTAGTAATTTTAGTGCAAACAGACATGTATTCTGTGTGGCATGGGCCACCTGTTGAATGGGAGGACTCCAGGTGGAGGGTTAAGGACATAAAACCATGGGAGTCTTTAGGGTGGGTCCTCAACTTAGTAAAAATAAAAAAGTACTGTGTTTCTTGAGAACTGGCCCCTAAATTTTCTTTCTCTACTTTACAGTACATCAATGACGTGTGTTCAGGGACTTTGGCCAGTTTTCGAAGGTTTATGAAGCACTGAACCTGACTTGCTAATATTTATCATGTCTACAAACACATTTTAAAATATTTATATTGCAACCTATATAAAAATAAAACTATGAACAGCCGGACAAGAACACTGGTCTACTCGCCGAACTTTCTTCCAAGTTCCTTGACATCGAGGATTGCCAATTGCTTGCCAATGAAGAGTTTGATTTCTGAAAAAATATTTTGAAAATGTTAGTTAACTAAAAGTAAACCAAAGAAAATTCTAATTTACAGAATTATAAATTGAGGGTCTTTTTTTTTTTTTTTAAAGAATGATCAGCCCTAGAGTTTTGAAGTGCTTTACAAATTGAAACTTTTGAAAAATGATCACAAACTGAGTTTCCCTTCTTTGGGCTTTCAAATCAAGTTACCAATTAATCCCTATTTGAGGACACCCTCATGTTGAGAGAGTCGTTTGAGGTTACTTGTTTCTCTCATTTGGTCTGAATATATGAAGTGCTACATAAAGGAAAATGGCTTCCATTTCATATATATTTAAATTAGAGGGGTCTGAGCCAAATGATCGCTTGTAATCCTTTCCAACTCTTTGACTCCAAAATGAAAAAAATGGGAGAAGTGGAAAAAGCAAAGCCAGATTATTGAAATTATTATTTTTAAAGTCACTGGAAGCTCAGCCAGGGTTTAAGGTACTTTATGGGTACAAATTAAATTATAAGTTCATTTAAAGTCAAAATATGGATGAGGTATTCAGAAAAATATTAAGTCTAAATATTAAGTTTCTATTGCATATGAATTCCTTACCCACTTTACTGTTCATATAGTATACTCAATACAGAGGCTGTTAGGCACAAGTGACTAATAAACATAAATTCAAGTTACTAAATATTAAAATATACTATGAAAATAATGATTAACTGCAAAGGTCCATATTTTACTTTCTAATCTGTATTTTTACCAGTTCCATCTGACATACTTAAAACCATAATCCATGTCCAGCACGAAGTCTACCCTTCTCTTAGTTATGAATAGTGTTATCGAAATTAACCGATAGTTAAGTATAGGACTAGGATAGATTTTCAGTGTGGTAAAATGTTTTCATGGGTCAATTCTTTTGGACAATCCATAGACTTCTGTAGGTTTAGGAACCTGCAAAGCTGAGCCCACCACTATCTCAGTTATGATTTTATGACTACTACTGAATTGAGTAGTGGTTCTGAAATTTTGCTATGGGTATTAATCATCTGGTCAGGGGTCAGCAAACTATGACACATGACCCAAGTCCAGCCACCCTGTTCCTGTGCAGTGTATGAGTTAAGAATGATTTCTTACACTTTTAAAGAATTGAAAGAAAATCAAAAGAAGAATATTTCGTGATATGTAAAAATTGTATCAAAATTTAAATTTTAATGTCCAGTAATACAGTATTATTAGAATAAAGCCAAGCTCATCTGTTTACATAGTGTCTATGGCAGATTTTGTGCTATGATGGCAGAGTTGAGTAGTTGTGACAGAGACCACAGGGCCCGCAAAGCTGAAACTATCTACTATCTGGCCCTTTACAGAAAATATTTGCCAACTCTTGACCTAGGAGATGGCTGAAAATCCACCCCCAAAGATTCTGAATCGAGTGGGGCTCAGGAATATGCATATTTTAAACCATCATTCCCAGAGATTCTGATTCAAATGGTCTTCGGAACACTGCTTTGGAGCCATCAGGTCTCTGGTGGTCATTTGGGAGCTTGGTCTGAACCCCAATATCCAAATTCACCCATTCATCCTGCTATAGAGCCTCCAACTCCCATAGTGTGAACTGGGCCCTGGACTCTGGAATTGCTAGATGGAACGTTCCCCTCATTTATTGTTTTGACTCCTCAAATCATGCCTTGATACTGGTCAGCTGTTCAGGACATGGAGAGGACAGACCTCTCCAAATGAGTAACAGAAAAAGTCCTTCAACCAATTTCCCTGGCTTACCCATCAGAGTCCAGGCCATCTCCAGAACAACGAAGGCTCACAGAGTTCATAGCTGGAGGCTGACAATCTACACACACGGTGTACCCCTCTCGGAGATACTGCATCCATCGAGTCAGAGGTCGGTTTTCCATAGCACAGTGAGGAGTCAATGATTCTGTCTTGAACTCCATACAGTAGCTAGAGCAAAACAATAAGGAACAGTTTTACCTGCTGTAATTAGAGGTGGTCTAACACGGTACAAAGTCTTAGGAAGCCTGTAATCCCCGAGGACATTTGACAGACTGGAGAAGGCAGTGCAGAGCATCTTCACAGGATGCACATCAGCCACAGAATGCCTTGTAGAGTTTCTCACTCGCTGAACTACCGTGATGTCTGACTGACAACTACAGTGAACCTTTTTGCTCTTTTTCAATCCATGATGGAATAACCCGGTCAACATGAATGTTCAGAAATTTGGATATCCTATATCCTGTCTAGTCTGACCACTAAATTGTGTATAAAAGCACATTTCAGTAGGAAAATAGCCCTTGATAACTTTGCTGATATTTTAATGAATTATAGAAATTAAACAAGAACTTGCTTGAGCCTGAGAATATGTGAGCCCCAAGAGAGCTAGTCCTTGACACCCAGGCCAGCATCTGTGCTTTTCTGCCCCACAAACATTCTCAGGGCCTTCCCTACACTCCTCACTCAGCTCACCTGCATGATCTGGGGTAATGAGATGAGTTTTGACTTGAAGTCAAGCATCAAAGATATACTGGGCATCACAGATAAAAAGAAATGGGAAGCTGAGACATGTTTTTCTGTCACAGAGACTACTGTCACCTTATACTGAGCTGTGGAAAACTCTAACACTATATGTGACTTGACTCTGAAGGCCCCGGGGCATCCAGACATGGGTGAATATTTTAGTCTTGTACTTAAAAGCAAACAACTTTACAATTCTTCAGGGAAACAAACATAGTAAAAACCCTGAATGTTGCAATTTAGGTTCTAACTATGCTAAAATGGGCTAGTTTTTTATTCATAGAATTGTGAGCTGTAATAGGCTAGATGAAAAGCGTATGGAGAGTCTGCTGCAGAGAAGATCTGTAACAATGGTAGGTATCATGTATTAGGTAGGTACCTTATTGTATTGAGGTAGGAAATTCTATGATGCAGCTTCAATCAACTTCAGACAGCTTAACCCAGACATCTCTTCAATGATATCTTCTCATTAAATTCTCATAATGACCCCATGTGGTAGATATTAATATTCTCATTTTTCAAGAAGAAAAAAACCGAGGTGGCTAGTGAGTGGCAGTGGGGATTTGAACATGCAGCCCTCTGGTGTCTCTAGTCTGACAGCAGAAGAGTGGACTTCTAGTGAGCACAGATGTTCCTCCCTCCCAGCCTGTGCCACTAGGTCTTGATAGAAATCGTCAGAGCTCAGGTGTGGGCCACTTACAAATTCACCAAACAGAGGTGGTGCTAGAGTCCACGGTCCCATAAAGGCTGTAAGAGGAGCATCCTGAGTGTGAATGACAAAATAATATCATCTCATTTTTATATAGTGTGTCTCTTCTTGGACCTGAGAGACAGAGAAATCTTTATGGCCCAACAAAAACAGGGAGGAGATAAGTTCTTTCCCAAGTCTGTGGTGGAGAGTCATCTTTCACCCAAAGTCAAGGAACAAGTAACAGAAGAAAACCCATCATGCCAAGTTGACCTTAGTGGGCTAACTTGGCCAAACAACTGGAAAAATATAAGTAAAAAGCATAAAAAAATCATCAAATTACCCGGCATCCTCTGTGTCTGCAGACCACCGTGGAGAAGCGGCTTGTCTGGTTCTCTCCTTGTTGAACGCAGAGGTAGTTATAAAGGCAGGGACTAGAAAAGGGAGAACGACGTTGAACACATGGAACCTGAAGTACTCACAGTGACATTTCCCAAACTTGGAGTCTAAAGCTCTCCACCTCTAAGTCCAAAGGAGCAAAATGAGGCTAAATTACAGTGTCCCCAGAACCCCATTCCAGAAAGAGTCTGTGGGAGGGGAACCGCAGGCCTTTGACAAGCAGGCTTGTCTGCAGTGATAAATCACACTGTATGAAAGGAAGGAGAGCGGCCAGGAAGGAGAACCAAGAGGAAATGATAAAAAAGATGGGGGAAAAAAACAAGGAAAAAAAGTGAGGTAATAGAGAGAGGGAGAGGACATTTTTAAAACTGAAAGGAAGAGAAATAGAGAAGAAAAGGGAAAGAGAGAATAAAGTAAAAGAATAGAAAGGAGAAAGAGAAGGAAGAAAGGAGAGAGGAAGAAGACAAAAGGGAGAGAAAAGGGGATGGAAGGAGAAAAAAAGACAACCAGAGAGACAGGAAATGAGATAGGGAAGAAACAGAAGAAGCAAAGGAAGGAAGTGTGAGTGCCCCCTAGGTCTCCGGTAACCGCAGCCGGGAAGCTTCACCACCGACAGCCACCAGTGTCCTCTCCTCTTCCCTCTCCTCCCCCGACTCTACCCCAACTCTGACACTCTTGGTAGGAGAAAAGAAAAGGAGCCAGGAATTCTTTCCTCCCACCTGTGCTCTCTTCTGTAGTTTTATTTTGTTTGTGTGTCTCCTTCCTATTTCATCTCTAAAGTCTACGGAGGGTTTTGCTTTATGTAGCACCTGGAGATAACCTCTTGGTTCCACTCCGCTGTCAACTCAAAGAAGACGAGGTTTTGCCTTGTTCATCACTGTAGCCCTCACACATTTACACACTCAGTAAATACGTGTGCAATGAATGAATGGGTTGATGAGTGAATGAATGAAGTCACAAAATTGCCACCAAGGTGCCCAGGTCCTACTTCTCTGTGGTCTTCTGTTCTTATACTGAGCCTTGCAGCCAAGATGGCTCAACAAGCCTTCCTACCTTTCATTTCAGAAACTGCATGATCCCAGGAAGGGCAGGTCCCAGCTGATGTTGGCTTGTGCGATGCCAAAGGCATCATCAACGTGAGCAAAACGGCATGAGGGCACCCTTTGCAAAACAGATGCTTCAAGTCTACATGTTCATTTCACCTGCTCCTTACCGCCACAAGATGGCAGCCCTAATTCTCTTTTAGATTTTCTTAATGAGGAGTCATTTTTACATAACTAGAGAATATAAGACAAGAGAGGCCTAATACCTGGAAGCCACTTGTTCCTCAGAGATGCAGGTAACTGGTCTTGTCTCATGTGGTTTGGTGTCTAATCTCTCTCCAGTAGGACAATTATCCACATCTAGAGGAAGCCCTGAGTCCCAGCTGTGTGGCTCTTCCTTGCTGCACTAACATGTAAAATTGTTTTTCGAAGAGAACATGCCATGCATTCGAAATGTGACTGTAGCTTTTGAACTTCCAAAATCCATGGATAGAATCAAAAAGAACAAGTGAGTGCAGGTATGTTAGGATCCTTCTCTGTTTCTCTTAGACCTAATTATCAGAAACACAAACATCCAAAGGATTTTAGTTTTCCCATGTCGTTTTCATTTCTGTTCTTCTGATGCATTTATGTGTTTATTCACCAAGTGAAGAGTGCATTTACTGCTAAATCCACGTAGCACTATACGAGACAAAGTATAAAATTTTCAGGATGTGTTTCTTTAGCTCAAAACATTTATTTGATCTCCTAATTTGCACTGCATATATTATTACAAAAGTTCAAAGGCAATATGCTTAATGTGTAGCTCAGAAAAAAAATTAGGTTAGGAAGAAGAGGGCAAGTACATGACTATAGTGTCAGGTATAAAATCCTTAGAAAAAGTTCTATGATAATAAAAATAAAAGCTAACAGTTATGCACTCCTAAGTTTCCAGGCATGATGCTAAGCACTTTTTTCATGTGTTAACTCATTTAATTCTCACAACAACCCTCTGAAATAGATGCCATCATTTCCCCATTTCACAGATGAGGAAATCGTGGCACAGAGAGGTTGAGAAATGTGTTCGAGGCTCATGTCTAAATGTGGCGGTGCCAGGAAATGTCTCCCAAACCACACTCTTCACTGTCAGCTCCATTACCTCTATTATAAAGCAGATTATAACATTGCACCATTTTATGAAGGATATTTTCCATGAATTAATTATATTCCGCTTTATTTTTCCTTTCTGTCCCTAATCACTGTCCTTAACGTGAAGTGAGATCTAAGAGAGGGAAGGGGAGAATGTTAGCCCTTACACTCGGAGTCCCCCAGGCCATGGGAGAGGGGTGGGGGTGGAGCTGGGGCCCAAGAGGCGGCGGAGGGCTCTCAGGGGGCACAGATGAAGGCCTGTGGCATGATGGCCCCTTGTGTGTTCACAGCCTGCTCATTCACAAAGTACTTTCACATCATATGTCATCAATCTTCACAAAAGCTTTGTAAAGAAGTGTTATGCCAATTCTACTCATCAGAAAACTGAGGCTCATAGAGGTTAAATGAAGGGAAAATAAAGAGTAAATGACTGGGGCCGCCTGGTGGTGTAGGGGTTAACTTTGTGTGTTCCGCTTCGGTGGCCTGGGGTTCGCAGGTTCGGATCCTGGGCACGGACCTACTCACCGCTCATCAAGCCATGCTGAGGCAGTGTCCCATATAGAAGAAGAACTAGAAGGACCTATACAACTATGTACTGGGGCTTTGGGGAGAAAAAAGCAAAAGAGGAAGATTGGCAACAGATGTTAGCTCAGGGTCAATCTTCCTCAAAAAAAAAAAATATATATATATATATAAAGAAGAGTAAATGGCTAAGCAAGGATCCCAACACAGAAGATAGGTTCTGTTTTTTGAAGACCTACTATCCATGTCAAGCCTCTGTGGTCGTGACCCATCATAAAGGCAAGCCAGTAACCCTGGACCCTGTCGCCTCCTCTCCTCCGTGTCCCGCCCCCTCGAGCCCCGGGCTTGGTTTGGTGGCACATTCCAGTGAGAGGGTGACCTCCCCCCTGGCACGAGTCTTCAGTAAACAGACCAGGAGCCAAGTTGCCTGGAGGACTCTGAATCAGCACTACTTTTTAATATCCCCCACAAATTTCATTTTCATTACTTAAGAGTGGTAAGGAATTTAGAAATTATTTTTGCCCCCAGTCCCACTTCTGCTTATGTGTGGAAGCACATAGCCGGTGCCCGGGGACAAAGGCTCTCAATAAACACTGGTTCCCCCCGTTCCCCTTCCTGGCAACAATATTCAAATGTAATAGAGTCTTTGTTAACAGGCTATTTGCCAACTTTTCTGGCATCCTATCAGCCTACCATTGTTCGGTTTTACAACAACTTCCACTTCTAAAAGCGTGGCACCGCACAGACTCACTTTGAACATGAAAGTAAATTACATTTGCTTTGAGAATTTCATAAGGCCTCTGACACAATCGGGTGTCACAAAAGCAGGACTAGAACCACTGGTCTGTAGAGATAGTGTAGAAGAGAATAGAATGAGAGTTTGACAAATAACACTGGCCTGGAATCATACACTTGATAATGCACATTGATCTCCTCTCGAGAGAAAAATGCATATAAACAATAGTCAATATGTGCAACAAATACAATAATATGGCTTTTTGGATTTGGTTTTATGATAAAAATATAGTCAAAATATGCATTAAATGAAATAGGAAAAATGCAATAGCTGCTTGATCATTAATAAGAGTGCTTCAGTGATCTTGTTTCATTCACTGGCCTCACAAGGCCTTTATATTTCTACTTAGTTACCAGAATCTGTAATTACAATTTTAGCTCTAATGATAACAATTAATAGCAAAGCAATATGAAGCAGGAAAAACAACAGGATTTAGAGCCATGAGATCCAGGTTTAAATTCTGGTAGTCCTCTCTGAGTTCCAATGTCCTGACGTGTATACCAAGGATAATGACACTGCCCCATCTCCAGGATAGGCAGAATAATGGCCCCCCAAAGATGTCCATGTCCTAATTCCCAGAGCCTGTGAATGTATTGTGTTATTTGGCAAAGAGGAATTAAAGTTGCAGACGGAATTAAGGTTGCTACTCAGTTGACCTTAAAATAGGGAGATTATCCTGGATTATCCGGTTGAGCTGAATGTAATCACAAGGGTCCTTCACAGAGTCAGAGGAAGATGTTACTAGAGAAGAAAGGCACAGAGAGATGCAATGATGCAGGCTGTGAAGACAGAGAAAGGGGGCCATGAGAAATGGAATGTGGACAGCCTCTGGGTGATGGAAAATGCAAGGAAACGGATCCTCCTCCAGGGCCTCCAGAGAGGATCACAGCCCTGCTGACACCTTGATTTTAGCCCGGGGAGACCCTTGTCAGACTTCTGACCTACAGAACTATAAGATGATAAATTTGTGTTGTGTATGTCACTGAGTTTGCGGTAATCTGTTACCTCCAACTTTCTGAGGTATCGACGAAAGGTTGTACAGCACACTCATGCTGTTTTTCTCTAGAACATGCTTTCTTGAAAGAGAATCTCTTAATTTTAGCATCATTCATCATTTTGGTAGGCTGAGAATTTTCCAATTCATCAAGCCCTGGTTCCATTAGGATTAAAAGTTCTCACCTCCATCTAGCTCCTTGCTCTCCCATTTCACTATATGCAGCAAGAAGAAACCAGAACGCACCTTCAACAATTTGCTTGGAAAGCCTCAGCTAAATATCCAACTTCATTGCTTACAAGTTTTACTTTCCACATAACTACAGGACACAATTCCGCTAGGCTTTCTGCTCTATATGACGGGATCCTCTTTCCTCCATGAAAAGGCAAGGAAACGGATTCCCCCTAGAGCCTTCAGAAAGAAACACAGCCCTGCTGACTCCTTGATTTTAGCCCAGGGAGACCTGTGCTGAACTTCTAACCCAGAGAACTATAAGATAATAAATTTGTGTTGTTTAAGCCACTAAGTTTTGTGGTAATTTGTTACAGCAGTCATAGAAAACCAATACACTCTCTTACAGGATTGCTGTGAAGACTGAATCAATAATATCTATAAAGGCGCTCTGCCCTGCAATTGTGAGGGATCAGTATGCCAGGCAACAAAGGCTCCTGCTCCTTGAATAGGAAGTCTGGTGGAGGCGGGAGGTGGTAACAGGTACACAAGTGACCCACAGCAGGATTGAGAGCCCCTAGATGGAGTGGGCACTCCTTCTCCATGCTCCCTCTCCAATCTGTGCATCCTTCTATCACAGCGCTCGCCCATCAAACTGAGTTATAAATAACTGTGATGTTTGTTATTCGAGTTTGTATTTCCAAAACCTAGCACAGCCCTGGTACGGTGTAGGTGCTCAGCGAATCTTAAAATTAATGAAACACATAAATGAATGCACAGGAACTAGGGGCCCCAGAAGAATCCACCAAATTTTCATGTTACTCTTTGTTTTCCCCTAGTGGTCCATCATTTTCCAAAGTGTATTTTACAGAACACTAGTGATTTAGTGATCAAATAAGGTTGGAAAACACTCAATATCCTATCTCCCTCTTAAAGAATGAAAATACATATTAGCATGATAAAGTCCCCAACAAGCTCTTTGGTAGAGAAGACTGTCTAGCTGGTTTACCCCACGTGTTCCTGACTAAACCCCTTCTTTGCACTTTGGGAACTTCTGCCTTCAGGAATTTTTGAGTGATCCAGCTATGGCGCAGGGGGCTGAGGGAAGAACCGTGTAGCCGTGCTTGGCCTAGAGCAGTGGTTCTCAGACTTCAGTGAGCAGCAGAACCCCCTGGAGGCCTCGAAACCACACAGAGTGCTGGGCCCCCCTCCAGTCATTCTGATCCTGTGGGTCTGGGTGGGGCCCGAGGAACTTGCAATTCTAACAAGTTCCCAGGTGAGGCATCAGGAACTACCACCAGACGGAATGTCCCAGGGGCCCTGTCCTCCTCCCTGACCAGCTTGTGACAGGAGTCATCATTTCTAAGACATCTCAACAGGAAAGTGAATCTCAGGGACCAAAGGCAGGGCTGCAAGTGCCAGTGGCCCTGCCCCAAGGAGAGATTTCTCCTCTCTTTGCAAACTAGGAGGTTTTATTTTACCTTATTAAGAAAGGAGGCCATTAAGTACAGATATCTCCTGTTAGTGTTACATCAAAGTTGCTAACGCCTTCTGGGGAGTCACATAAGAAGACTGCTGCTTCTTAAAATCCTCTTAGTGGAGTCTGGTGGGAGGGGTGAGTAAGGGGGTAATTTGGGAATTCGAGGACATTGGAGGAGGGCAGGCCTGTGAGCTCTGCCCAGTCAGAGGACAGAGGAGTGGACATCTCTGGGCAGAGAAAAGAACCCCAGGGGGCAGGGTGTGGGCCCATGTGCCCTTGGCCCATGTTCCATAGCATCCTCTTCATTGGCCTTCCTGTCCCCTTTCCTGCGACCTGCACTGTCCTGTTACAAAGAGATCCAGGGCTGGGAAGCGGTCTATGACAGCCTGGTGCAACACCGAAGAGTTAAATGTGCTGAAGAAGTACTTTCTGGCAGCCAAACGCCGTAAATGAATAGAGCAGCTGCTTTTTCTGATAGATCTGCTATACGTTTTAAGAGTCATCAAAAAAATCAGTAATGTACAGCGACTCCCTCCCTGAGCCTTTTCTGCAGTGTGTCTGCAGAGTGCATGAGCTGAACATGATTTTGTCCTGTGACCGTTTCTGCGAGCACTAAACTATTTCCCTGGGAGCTTAACATGACTGCTGTGTCCACGAGAGGCCTCCACCCTGGCCCTTCCATGTCCACTCCACGACCAGAGCGATCTTTTCAAATCAGATCTGATCACACAGGCCCCTGCAGAAAACACCCCAGTGTCTTTCTAGCACTCATAAGATAAAGACGAGAATCCTACACAGGGAGCTCCCTGCACTGAGGGGGTGTCAGCCGAGACACTTCCCCTCCCACTGCCAGCCTCAATCTCTGTTCTCCCCACACACTGACCTTCCTTCAGCTTCTCAGATGGGCCTTGCGCTTCCCCCCATGTTATATAAATGAGCCAAAGATGGCCCCTCGGTTGTTTATTTCCTGACAGCAGACTGAGACCTATTAGCCTCAAAGCCTACTGGCACCAAACTCAAATTTTTATATATCCAATTGCTTTAAATATAGCCAAACCAGCAGATTTTTAGCCATTTAGGCCCTGCCTCCTTTGAATACCCTGCAAAACTACACCCGGCATCTGCTGCCATTGATAAGTTAAAGCCTTGTGGTTGTAAGACCCCTAGCTGCTATGGCCCTTGCCCTTCGTAGCCCTCTGACCCAGAGACTTCAGGTCACGCTGCTGAGCTGACATCGCCTAGACACATAAGCCCCTGGCAGATTCCTCTCCTCCCCTTCTGGATGGTGGTCCCCACATGATAGCCTCTGGACTTCCCCTCTCATGCAACCCTGTCCAAGCACCACCCAATAAAGCTTGTGTTACTGCCTCTCGTGCTCATGTGGTTTTCCTCCCATATGACCCTCAAATCCCTCCAACCCCCCGTATGTGACTACAGTCATGCACAGCATAACGACATTTTGGTCAACGATGGACTGCACATGTGATGGTAGTCCCATAAGATTCGTACCATATAGCCTAGATGTGGAGTAGGCCATGCCACCTAGGTTTGTGTAAGTACACTCTACGGTGTTCACACAAGGACAAAATTGCCCAACGACGAATTTCTCAGAACGTATCCCCATCGTTAAGCGACACATGACTGTATCTGGTTCATCACACTGGCCTCTGCCCGGGAAGCTCTACATTCTCAGCCTCATCTCCACATCCTTAAGGAAGTCCTTCCCCTCCTCACTTGTGCGGATCCCCTCCTCCCCCGAGACCAGGCGGATCAGCTTATTACACACACTCATAGCTCCGTGTGCCTCTCACTTGTTCAGAACCAGTGGCACCAAATTGCAGCTGTAATTTTGGGGGATTAATTTCCTAGGATTATCAGATTATCATCTCCCCCTCCCACTAGACTGTGATCTACACAACAGCAGGCTCCATGTCAACTTTTTTCACCATTGTGACCCTGGCACCCAGCCCAGTGCCTGGCATCAAGTAGACCTCAATAAATATTTGTGTGTGGAATGGAACAAGGTGGCTTGACAAGGGTCATGTTGACATGAAATTTTCCAGGTTCCTGTGAAAAACATAGGATCTTCGCTATACTGAGAAATCAGTGTTTTCCTCTATCAGATTCCATCCTGATCAACACATTGGTATTCGCCCTTTTGTTTATTTCTTTGTGAGCTTCAGAGGCTCCAGACTCATGAATGAGCGATTCCTGTCCCCTGCACTAGCCACTCCACAACCAGGAGGATCTTTTCAAATCACAAATCTGATCACATTAGCCCCAATCCAGTCGGCTTAAGAGAGGTAGGTGTTTTAAGAGTCATTGTACCATTGTGTAGGAATTTATAATGGAATGGAAAATGGAATGTCTACCATTTTCACACATGTGTGAGTGTGCATGATTAAACAGGTAAAACAGTTATCCTTCCTGGACATGCACTATTCTTTGTGAACTATCCTCACCCTGTCTGAAGTTCTTTGTCATCAGCTTGAATGAATTCCCTAAAAACACAATGCACTGGTCCCTTACACCTACGGCATGCACAGGAGAAGGGGCCACCATTGAGCTATGAACACACGGAGGAAAGAGGGGGTGAGGGAGGGCTGGGAGGCGTTTTTGCAGCTGGCCGCTAATCCCTTTATTGCGCATTTCCTGAGCTTCCTATCTCCTCTGGGCAGCCTGGCCCATCCCACGCTCCGCAGGGAATGGAACTTTCCCTGCACAGCACATGGCCTCTCATGGGACGAAGAGATGTAAAGTCATCAGAGGCAACAGAGGTAGCAACCGTGCAAACCTCTTACCGAAGGAGTGGCCGCAGTCCTGGCCCTGGGGCGTCCAGTACTCCAGGCAGCCGGCTCTCTCTTCCAGGGGCGGGCAGGGCGCCCCTCCGTTCAGGGGCTCCTGCTGCACCGAGCGCCTGCGCACGCGGGCCGTGGGCTTGCACTGGTCGGCGCAGCCACTCCAGGGGCTCCACTCCCCCACGATGCACGGGCGAGCTGAAAGACAGCACGAGGGGGCGCTCGGCTGAGTCACCCGGCCGCCCGCCAGGCCCTCCCGCCACCGGAGACAGTGGAGCTCGGCCCACGAAAACCGCGCTTTGACTGGGCCCTGTACCAGGAGGGCACACAGAGCCTCAGCGGTCCCGGGTGACACCCACTCCACCCGCCCTGATGGTTAACTGATAATCCGGTACCTTTCAGAGGCAGGCGGATGTTCCAGGATCCTGAAGGTGGGTCTGAGCCAAGGACACACCCGAGTGAAAGACCGGATGCCTCCAGGGTACTTCCTCATTCTCTGGGGCTCAGAGCAGACCTTTGCTTTCCAAACATTCTTTTTTTTTTTTTGTGAGGAAGATCAGCCCTGAGCTAACATCCATGCTAATCCTCCTCTTTTTGCTGAGGAAGACTGGCTCTGAGCTAACATCTATTGCCAATCCTCCTCCTTTTTTTCCCCAAAGCCCCAGTAGATAGTTGTATGTCATAGCTGCACATCCTTCCAGTTGCTGTATGTGGGACGTGGCCGCAGCATGGCTGCAGAAGCGGTGCATCAGTGCACGTCAGGGATCCGAACCCCGGGGCCGCCAGTAGAGGAGCGAACGCACTTAACCGCTAAGCCACAGGGCCGGCCCGACCTTTGCTTTCGTTTTACCTTGATTTTAACTTTGTCCTCCCCTGCCCAGAACATTCTTATTGTAACAGCAGTACATATTCATTTGTAGAAAACGTTAAAAAAAGAAAATGTACTGCATCCACCAATAACCCATCACCTACCCAAGTCAATTCTTATCAGCAGATGGCTTTGGGCCACACCAAGGGACCCCTATACTTGGGACTTCTCCTGGATGCTCTATTCTCATCGTCCTTGGCTCACAGACGTCAGCTACAAGAAGAGGAGTTTAGAGATGAGGACCCTGGGCCCCAGAGGTGAAGAGGACTCATGGTCCCATGTGAAGGGGCAGAGGCAGGGAAGAATTTGGCTCTCCTGACAATTCCCCAGTCACGACTGTAAAATCAGCGTGGTTGCACATTTAACTCTGCCATTTAGCCCTAATGAGTCTTTTCAAAGGACTGTAATGAGTTTTTAAATTGAATTACTTCAGGACTTGAAATTGGATATAAGAACAGAACAAGAAGACAGTACGCCTAAACTAGAGGCCAAAACTGGTTCTTTCCCACGAAGTGTGACCCACTTTCCTATCACCCTCATAGTTTCAGGGTTACAGTGTCTTCATCAAGAAACCACCCTCGCTTCTTTGAAACCTTGATTTGGACCGCTGACAGTTTGTACTTGAAAACTCATTTTGCCTCTCAGCAAACTAGTTTCGGGTTCCTGGCTTTTGGAAGACGTATCATTTGGCAGCATATAGCTATCTCTGACATGAAAAGGGTCACACACAACATAAACCTCTGTCAGTAATGCAAAAATTTCAAACTGTTTTAAAACAGGCTTTTATTAATCACCTAAAAACTCATAGGTATCCCGTGTCAACTACCGAAAGAAGCAAGAATGAGCCACGTTAGTGTTCATTCCCAACATTCGCCATGTACACATCCTTTGGAAAATCAATAACAGGTCACTTCCTGCCCTTGTCATTTCCTGTTGACTCCTCCCTTTTTATTTTCACCATCCCATGATTTAATTGGCCCACAGAACCAGAAGGCATTTAAAGAGACTGCCAGGCTAGGAGCTGGTTGAGAAGGACTTCTGTTCTTAATTCATTCAATAACTCTTCCTGCCCCCAATTTCTTCATCCCTGAGCCTAGCTAGTCTTGTCCTGATGTGTTGGACTTGACCAACACTTAATAATACACTTGTTTTTTTTTTAAATACACTTGTTTCAAAGATGAACATTTGGACATCACTATAAAATAAAATTTTGCCATGGCATTAACTCCAAATTTAGTGATATGGCCTTGGGTTACACTCGATCCATACAGTAAAAGATGACATTGATGAGAGTTTTCTGACAGAATTTAGTCTCCTAGTATTTCTTCAACATTTGTGTCTCATGTCCAATGTTTATTTATTTTATTTCATTTGACCCCTAGTTAAAGTCCTCAAATCACAGAATCGTTGAAGCAGTTATTGTTCCTATTGGTTAAGTTTTGTCTCTGGCAAAATGCTATGCTCTGTTTTCCCAGTCCATGACTTTAACAGCCCTATAACGAGAACCAAAGTTCTAGAGCCCTGAACAACATCTTGATGGTAAGCCAAAATGAAAAAAAGTTCACATAGAATTACATGAGTAAAAGGGTGTTCCATAAAATGTTTTGAGTTGGAAAATTAATCTGAAGTATTTATTCCTATTCTGCACAAAAGATTCTCTTCTTGATTACCTTATGAACTTTTGATTATTTGGATTGCAATTCATCGTAGATCACAGAGATCATTGGTCCCGGAGGCTAGGGGAAGTACAGGAACTTCTGACAGATTTATTAACACAAGTCATATACCACAGCTGCACGAGACAGATTTCTTTTTGAACTGTTCCATTAGAATTGCTGTCCCCTTTCCACTAAAGCTTATCTAATTCACATCTATATCCAGCATATCAAAATATTCTTTCTTGAAATCTGACTTTTTCAATCTTCACATGTCACCAGCTGTTCCTGAGGGCAACAGACTCTTGTGAGCAGCGTGATCTCCTTTGACTCCAGGCTTGTCAAGGCTGCCTGAGGTCTTAAGAGTTAGTATTTGATGACATCATCCCACCCCTTTTAGGGGAAAGAAGCCTAGATTTGGTGGGTGCCAGGAAGTTCAGCAAGCTCCTTCTTTTCTTTTCTTCTTCTTTGTTTAAACTCAGTGTAATATTCAGCTGGAGTTTCCCCAGAAGCAGATCTGGAGACATGGATTTGAAAGCAAGTAACTTATTTGGGAGGTGATCCTAAGAAGCACAATAGAGGAATGGAGGGCAGAGGCAGAGAAGGAGACACAGAAGAGATCAGAGACATAAAGAAGACACCTACGTTCCTATGTTAGGCCCAGTGGGCACTGCTGACTCTCAGCTCACTGGAAGTGAAAAGAACAGAAAAGTAAGCTATATATTTCAGTAAGGAATCTGGGCACAGGAGTAGGGTGCATTTTCACATATCCTAACAGGGATATCCAATCAATAAATATTTGTAGAATGAATGAATGAATGAATGCAATGGCACTGGGCAAGTTCCTCCTCCTTCCTAAATAATGTTCTATGTTGAAACAGACTCTGGTCTGCTCATATCATAAGTAAGAAGCCAAAGCACTGACAGACGCTCCAGGATGGGTGGGAAAGCCGGTGGAAAGACAGGGGCAAAATCAAAAACTCCCCTAGCCCAACACACGGGCATTCTAACCTGGGCCAGAGTTGTCTGGGCTCTCCTGGCAATGGTGGCCCCAAAAGGTGTCCACTGGAAGGAGCATTGCTTTCTGTGCCTTACAGTTAGGAAGATCTAAGCTTCTCCGGGCAGCCACAAGTCCTTCAAGTGGTTTTTAATCCATTTATATCTCCTGCCCATAACACATCTTGAAAGTAACAAGCTTCTTTAATTTTATTATCTGTAGCGTGAAGTGGTATTTCCTTTTATCTGAGCCAAATTTCCCTCAGTCAAGAATCTCAGACTATGGTGAAAAAAATATCTGTGTTTATCTTATCTGTGCCACTCATGGACACTGGTCCAGTAGATCCCCTTCCTTCCAGCACAGACTTTCCAGGTTGATGACTTCAGCTTTTGGACCCATCTTTCCGGACCCTTCCCCTCTCGGAATTACCACTGGATTTTCTCCAGGTCCGTTCACAGCCTCACCCGTTCACAGCCTCAGTGAGCTGTGGCAACCAGACTGGACACATTGTTCTCAGTCTTTAGGTACCAAAGGGTAATTTAAAAAAACATTTTTCTAGATGATGCCAAATACACACACACAGCGCAAGAAACTGAGCTGACAGCCAGATCCTTCATTTCATAAATATCGTCTGGATTATTTCTTCTTAATGTAAGGCCTTGCTCTTGTTCTCATGTAGTGTCTCCTTGGTTAATCACAGACTCAAGCATTCTCTTTTGTAATCTGGCCCTGCTTGGCTCTCTGCCACCTCAAAGTTGAAGGCCACCCACGATCAAGTGCTTTCTCCCTCACGTTACTAAGTTCAAATAGTCCTCATCATTCCTAAGGAAACATCATTTTTATACCTCACCCATAGCGCTACCATTTATGCATACCTTTTGTTTCCTGACATTCTATGGAATAAAAACAAAACAGCCCCTTTATCCACACACATACCTTATGGTGACCCAATTTGAAATGTATGACATTTGCCTTTTCTCTCTCCTTATGTATACCTTTTTCTGTGGAACGTTGGCAAAACTGTGAAAGTCGAATAAGACTACATTTCCCAAGTGCCTATGTAGCCCCTCAAAAAGCTCTCATAAAATGATCAAGTATTTTTTCCTTCTTGAAGAAACCATGTTATCTGGCCCCAGTAGGTTTCTTTTTTCTTTTGAGACATTAATTGGATGAGTTCATGAAATGCTAGCAAGACAATGAAATGGGCCTCCTCATTAGAAAAACAGAATTTAATACACCATGCAAACTCAGGGAAAAAGGGGAAACAAGTGAAAAAAAATAATGATGCTTCTTCTGGGTAGTAAGATTCTAGGTGAGTTGTTTTCTTCTTTTGTGCATTTCTATCTTTTTCAAATTATCTGCAACAAACATGTATTTTGTAGTCAGGGAAGGAAAATGTTATTTTAGTAAGGCTATGTGCATATGCCCCAGATGGCAGGGCCCTCTGAAACCACAGATAACATCCCCTGGGTGGAATGACTGCTCATGTTGTTTTGACAAAGATTAGGAGACACCACGATAGCGACTAGGGGATTGCAAACAGAAGCAGGACACATGTTTTGCCCTTGAGGAGCACACAGTTGATCAAGAGAGAAGGCTCACTCACTCTACAGTATTTATCTGGGGCCTACCCTGCAAAGTACACGGTTTCTCATAAAGCCCCATTTCTCCAAGGCAGTAAAAACATAATGTTTAAATGTGTGGGCTCTGGATCCAGAATTCCTGGGTCAAATCTCACTCTATCACTTATCAGTGGTGTGATTTTGGACAAATTGCCTAAGCTTTCTGTGCCCCGGTTACCTTGTCTGTAAAATGAGACCACAATGAGGAATCACCTCGGCAGGTGGTGAGCCCTAAGTAAGTTTAGGGCTGTGACGTGCCTGCGAGAGTGCCTGGCACGGAGGGAAGCTGGGTAAGCGCTGACGACTTGAACCTTCTTGACTGCAGACCCAGGGCTGCAGCCAAATGCCGCAAAGTGAAGTCGTGTTGAATACTGGTGCCAGGCCTTGCTCGTTTTTCTGCAGAGACAAAGGCAGGGGAAGCCACATGCTGTCTCTCGGGCTGCTCTGGCTCCAGTAAAGCCTCAACACTCTAAATCATCCTAGGCTGGGACATCCTTCCTTTGGATGAGTTGGAGCCCATATTTTCAAGGAGAGTGCCCCTCTCCCTCCAGATATGATGTCATCAGATTTGGGCCAGTGTGTTGCCTAGATTCCCCATAAATCTGGGAGAAGAGACTGGCTCACACAGGCTACTCAGTTTTTGTCCTGCTCCACTTGGGTTAATTATTACTCTTTCCTTAAGTTGCTCATCCAAGATCTAATGCCATCTACTGTTTCTATGAACTGAGAACGCAGACCCAGGAACCTGGCTGATGAATTAGAGACTGGGGTGTTATGAACCCGATAAGCCAGCCTTCCAATAAGTTTTTCCAGAGCAGGGTCACTTGGATTCATCCCCCTTCTCTGCTTCCCCATCCCTGATCAGGCTCAGCCAATGGAGACTTTTCTATCCTTTTGTGTGTGGGGGAGGGTTTGTGGAGATAGATTATTGGTATTGAAACCCATGCCATCATCATAGTGAGATTTTCTGAGATATTAGTTTCAGAACAGATTTTTTGGCAATTCAGTAATTCTATAGATCCAATAACTTATTTTTATTTTTACTGAGTTAAAAAAAAAACTTTCTATTTATAAAAAGAAATTCCAGTATTTCCTCTCTTAGCCACACCCAAAAAATTGTGTTTATCAAGATAAAAAAAAATCAGAGGGAATAGAAGTAAGGCATGCTTAGTTCTCTGACATAGTTCCACTTTTCATTCACAATTAACGTAATTTCAGTCAAAAAGGCTTCAGGCAGCGTCGGTAGGTAACCTAACATTGGGTAAAGAGGAAAAGAGATTCTAAGAGGCAGAATGGTTCTGCGTATAGAGAGTAACTGGGGGCTCTGTGCTACTGAAATTGATTTATCTAGAAATATACATAGCCATGAATTGGCACAGATGCGGCTGATAGCAGCTGGAAGTCAGGCAGCTGTGGGTTCAGATCTCAATGTGCTGCCCGCTTGTGTTAACTTAGTAACGGGAGAGCCCTCTCAAAGTCTCATTTCCTGCAGCTGGAAAACGCTCATCCAGGCCCACGGCGCCTTTCCCCAAACCCCAGAGTCAGCAGGGTTGCGACCTTGTCCAGGCTGAGAAGACCGAGCCTCTGAGGCCCGCAGCGCCCTCCCTCTCACCCTCAGCTCTCAGGCGCGGGCAGGCTCAGGCTCGCCAAGTGGCCAACTTCCAGTTGTCTCTATTTTCTTCTTCCTTTCCCAAGAAACTCCGGGCGCAGAGAATTTACCAACAAGAAGCCTTTTCCGTCCCACTTCTGCTTCTGCCTAGGCCTGCAAGGTCCTATGCTAAGTCCTTGGGGAAGGGCATTTAAGGCTCCTGATAAGCCTCTTTTACAAGCCTATCAGACTCCATTTCCTTTTCTGGCTTCGGATCCTGGTCCACCGCTCACAGCTCTTCCCCCAGCCACACAGAGGCTGTGATTTCTTTCTGAGTTCTCCTGAGATGGTAAGGTCATCTCGTCTCTTCTATTCCTGACCTGACAAATCCCCACTCCAAAATGATAGGCTCTTTGTCTTAATATTTCTACCCCCTGGACTGAAAATAAGAGGTTTATTTTTGACCAAATGAAGACTTTGAGGATTCTGCAACTCATCGCACCATTCGGCCTCACCGGAAAGCTGGTTCTCATGACACTTGCCTGTCTTTCCCCATCACTCTTCTGTTCCTGAATCTCTCCATATCTAGCTGTGTTCACTGTCCGTCCTGGTCACCAGGTTAGCCTCAGGGCCTAGCCTAGTCCGGCACAAGAGGCTGACACCCACGGGTAACTGCTGGACAGCCATGTGATGCTTTCCTGCAGGAATTCTCCTTCCCCTTCTCGGGACCTCCCGCTCATTCTCCAGGATTACGCTTGCCCATTACTTCCTCTGGGAAGTCTTCCTGGAATTCCTCAGGTCTTCTGAGTCTTTCCTCTCTAGCCTCCCAGATCCCTTATTTAGGCACTAAACATGTTGCAGGTGGTTTTGCATGTGTGTTTCCCTGCTCAACTGTGAACTTCTAGGGAGCAGAGACTGTGTTTTCATCATCTCTGTATCCCTGTGCTTCCCAAGCACATCCCTGTGCACATTATCTGGACTCTAGGAATTTCGTATTTGCCTTTAATATGTAGGCAAACCCCTGGTGAGAGAGTGCTCCTGCCATAGTGAGAGAGGCTTTGCTAGAGGGAGCCTGGTAACCAAGGCAAACAGGTACATAGGTAGAAGGCTGCCAGGAGGGAGAGTGGGGTGCCTGACCAGAGGACACTGCGTTTCCTAAATAACTGACTCCTCACCTTACTTTAGTAGTAAAATATTCTGGCCTTGGAGCAGGAAAGGGAAAGCAGCTTATCAAAAAGAAGACCAATATTCAAAGGTAAATCATTAGCTTTCAATCAGGGTCAAAAAATCTGAATGTTTTTCAACTGTGTTCTTCCGGCAGCAGGCCTGGCTGACCATCCTGCCACGGGCTGGTGGCCTCATCCAGAACCACAGAGGCAGAAGGGGTGCTGCTCTCTACAGGGCATCTGGTTCCCTGGGGAATGACATAGCCTGCTGGTTACTCTTCCAGGAAGACGCTGGGGTCACTGAGGTCACACCTTAACGTATGTATGGCGTTTGGGATGATGAGATTAACAGAGAGCAGGGTTGCTTTTATTTCTAGAGCTGGCTTCTCTCAGGTACACTTGATTCTTCAGGACTATACTCACAATTTCTTCCTTTACCTTTTACTTTAATTAAATCAACATTTATTGAGCCCTTACCAGGGGCTGTGATACTATGGGAAATTCAAAGATGAAAAAGACTGACGACCCTAAAGGAAAATCGGCACGATTAAAACATAATAGGAACCCTGAGATAAAAGTCTTTATCGTGCTAGACGGATAAAATTGAATTAAAAGAGCATATCAAACACCTCCTGTGAGGAAGGGGCTACGCTACATGCTGGAGTCCAGAGGTGAGGACAACTGTGGTCCTCACAAGAACTTGTTCTCCAAGAGAAAGTACCCTCCCAGAGCCAGCCATTGGCACAAAGTGGGATAAGTACACATTCCTTCCTTCTCACCCCTCACAAGGCCCCTGAGATCCCCCAGGGCTCACAGAAAGAAAGCGTGGAGGCTGGCCCCGGGCCGTGCCCCTGGAACCTGTCAGTGCTCTCTCTCCAGTCAGGAGTTGGCCCTACCAAGCTGGAGTTCCCGAGTCTAAGAATTCACACGGCAGAGGTGGCCCCACACCCTTCCAGGAAAACAGAGGGTTCCAGCCCCTTCCATCCAGGCTCTGGCGGGGAGGGGTGCTTTGGAGCCGTATGTCCAGGTGGAGAGGACTGGGAGACCCCTGGGAGTGGGCTGGGGGACTCTAGCATGGAGGGAGTTGGGCGTACCTGGATGGAGGGGTCTGGAGTGGGCCGGGATAGAGGGTCTGGACCAGCCAGGATGCCAGGGGCTGAGGAACCCTGGCTCCGGGGCTGCGGTCCTTGGTGAGGGGCCCTGGGCCCCTTGGCTGCGGGCGAACAGTCGACGCCCCACCCTTGGCCCCGCCACCCACCTGGGCACGCCCTGGAGTAGTCGAAGCAGCAATCCCCGGTGAGGAGGCAGGCTTGGTCGCAGAAGCACGTCCCGTAGACCCTGTCCAGCCTCCAGCCGCGGGCGAAGCAGGCGGGGTCCCGGCCCGGGCAGCAGCGCCCCGCCTCGGCGCAGCCGGCCAGGGCCCCGGGCCACAGCCGCGCCAGCGCGCACAGCGCCATCC